TTTTTTCCCTTAAATCAATAATCACTAAACTTTATCCAAAATTATTACTTGTGAACCCATATTATAAAAATAAAAAAAAATATCCACGTGAACAAAAAAATTTAAGGGCAAATGAAAATCTTATGTGGCTAAATTAATTGAACAATACCAATCGATTCTTCTCCAAATTCAAACACGGCTTTGCCCTATTGATTCTTCCCCAACTTGTTGAAGCAAATTCCAAACAATTCTTCCTCAAATCATAGCCCGAACCATTTTCATCCAAGCTTGAACCCCAAATGAACAAATTTTTCCTCATTGAACTCCAAATTGAGAAACCCCTAGATTTCATATGAACTCTAGATTCGTCTACCAAACTTTTCCACCTATTATTTTTCATATATCCAATTGATGGTTTGGTTTTGGGGTTCACGTGATTTTTTTGAGACAATAGAATGGATTGGGTTTTGGGGTTCACGTGATTTTTGATTTTGGCTGATTTTACGTGAGCTATTCTGCATGTACATGAATCCCAAAATGAACAAAAAAAAAAAATTAGTCTTTTTCGAGCTCAAAACTTGAGTTTTTGTCCATGGCTTCCTTTCTACTTTTTATGAATGATTCAGCCTTTTCATTTATGTTTGATGGTACACTCAGAACTTCCACGCCCAACTTGGAGGAATGGTATTATGTCTTCATTTGGCTTATTCACCTTCGTTCCTTCAGCTAAAAGTTTAGTACTGAAAATATTGATATTCTAGAAACCACTCTATATTCTTTTCTCTAAAAAGGGGATCATTGTAGATTGTGTTATATTCATAAATTACGTGGCATGCTCAAACTGATGAGGTCCTATATATGTCAACGGGCATAGAATATTCAATTGATTGTGTCTATTTTAATTAAATAATTGCGTCATAGGCTCGACCCATCATAACCATTGTCCCATTTACATTTCGCTATATATGTGATTCATTTCACAATTAAGGTATGATTTCTAACCCTATCCAAATCCCATCTCCTTCTCTTGTACTCACTTTTTCTCTCATTCAACAGTTGACTTGATTATTGGAGTGCAAACGGTAGCTAGACAGTTTTCTTGATCGTAGACATTTGCCTCTTAACGGGGTGTTTGAGTATGTAGGTGATATTTACGTGGAGAGGAGGTAGAAAGATTCTGTTTGCGCATTTTTTGAGGTCAACATGCAGGGAAGCATGGGTGTTTCGACGAAGAGTTAGATCCCAAAGGGGACTACTTCCTAATCGTCGAAGCGGATAGCACATGCATGTTAACCCAATAATAACTAACCAAGAGGGAGGTGAATTGAGTTTTTGAAACTTTTTCAACACTTAGTCTCAAAACAATACAAT